GAAGTTCAAGGTCATCCTTGACTACACAGCACAGCTTTGGGTCAACTTGAGCTACAGGAGACCCCAACTCAACATTAAAAAATAAAGATGAGCAACCGTGCTGAGGAAAAACCTGTGCCCAAACCTGAATCACCAATGCAGGTGTGGGCAGATAAAGTAACAGAGAGAGGGCCTGCAAGGCAGGTGGGTGTTATCAGGGGGCCCTGAGGAAGTGTATTTAGTTTTTTGGGTGTTTTTGTTTTTTTCTCAGTTTTTGTCACATTTATCTGTGCGCTTTCTCATATGCATGGGGTCAGGGGAAACCTGTGGAAGTTTGGTTCTCTCTTCTTATGTAGGTCCCTGGGACTGAACTCAGGTCATTAGGCTTGGTGGCAGGCACCTGTACCTCTCCCCCACAGCCACCTCTTGGCTAGCTTGGGGTGTTTTTGTTTGTTCATCTGTTTGTTTTTCAGAGCTGTAGATGAAACCCAGAGCCTCCTTTCTTCAGGGGAGAGCTCTACCACTGAGCTGCAGCCCCAGCCTTAACTCTGTGTTTCAAGACAGGGAAATGACAGCACTTGATTTTATGCATGTGCTAAAGCCTATTTTGTGTGTGTGTGTGTGGGGGGGGGGGGTCACATTTCCTTTTCTGGTTTGTTTGCACAAGGGATTCTGAGTTTGTGGTCCTAGAAATGAAGTGAAGAAAACGGGCTGCCCAGAGAAGCTGAGACAAGCAGGCTCTCCTCAGCATTTCCTCCGAGCATACAGTGTTCCAGCGCCTTCCATCCTGAATACTGCAACACCTTGCCTGGACTTCTCATTTCATCAAATACAGACTCAGTATTCTAAAGTGCCCTCCCCATCCCCTTTCTGAGACAGGTTCTCACGGTCTAACTCTGGCTTGCCTGAAAGCATCCTGTAGTTTATGCTACAGAGAGACGGACAGAGAGAGAACGGGAGAGCTCTGGGGCTGAGGAGGTGACTCAGCAGTTACCATGCGCTCCCGTTCCAGTGGATCTGGTGCCCTCTTCTGGCCACCTCAGACATCAGGCAAAGACATGATACGCAGACATACATGCACCCATACACATTAAATGTTTGTTTGATTTTAATATTTTTTAAAGATTTATTTATTTATTATGTACATATTATTCTGCCTGCATGTATACCTGCACACCAGAAGTGAGCACCAGATCTCATTATAGATGGTTGTGAGCCATCATGTGGTTGCTGGGAATTGAACTCAGGACCTTTGGAAGAGCAGTCAGTGCTCTTAACCTTTGAGCCATCAAATGGTTGCTGTAAAATTCAGGGTATCTCTAACGATGTCAGAGTTAAATGGATTCAAAATTTCAAAACTTGCACACACTTTTCTCTAGCTTTAGAGATTTGAGATACTACCTAATTAATACTTTTTGGGCTTTGTCTTGCTTCTAAATTCATAAGGAAACACCGTCAATTTAAGACTCCTCCACCATGAGCCCAGAAACTTGAGCAATATGGAAATAACCCATTTCTAGAATTAAAAATACTCGTTTTTTTCAAAATGCCGAGAACAACTGACTATGGGGTGTCCATGCTAATTGATACATCTACAATGCAACTCCTACGCCCAAGACTCGGGGAACATTGTGGAAGAGGGTGTGTCTGACTTAGGGTTATTATTGCTATGGTGAAACACCATGACCAAAAGCAAACTGGGGAGAACACTTGCCTCTTTTTTCCGCCTTACACTTCCATATCGTAGCACATCATAGAAGAAAGTAAGGGAAGAACTCAAACAGGGCAGGAACCTGGAGGCAGGAGCTGAAGCAGAGGCCACGGAGGGGTGCTGCTTACTGGCTTGCTCATCATAGCTCAGCCCACTTTCTTCAGGAACCCAGGACCAGCAGCCCCAGAGGCAGTCCCACTTACAATAGATGTGGCCCTCCCAACCAATCACTAATTAAGGAAAATACCCTAAGATCTTATGAAGGCATTTTCTCAACTGAAGTTCCCTCCTTTCAGATGACGCTAGCCTGCACCAAGTTGACATAAAACTAGGCAGCACAGGGTGGAAAGACTGTAAGGGCCAGAGGACCAGGGCGTCTGCTCCTGAAGATAGGCCTTCTCTATATGATATGTCACTGCACCCGTGAAATCTTAGCAATGTGGTTGTCTAAACAAGTCCAGTGCAATGGCACCATTGCCAGCTGCTGCTAAGAAACAGAGAATCCGTCTTTTCCAGGGATGTGCCCTCTGATGGGTTATCTAATCCACGTGGCCAGCCCTAAACACCAAGCTCTAGCTTGCTTCCCATGGCTGTTACAAACACCATCACCTAAAACAACTTGGGGAAGAAAGGGTCGTTTCCTTTTACAATCTGAAGGTCATAGTCCATCACTGAGGGAAGTGAGGGCAGGAACTTAAGCAGGGACCTGTAGGCAGGAACTAGAACAGAAAATAGGGAGGAACAGTGCTCACTGGCTTGACTTGTGGCCGAACAGCTCATTTTCTTATACAACCAGCTGGTAAGTGCCCACTCGGACATCGGTCATTACTCAGACTTGCCTAGAGACAGACCTGTGTTACGAAGGCGTTCTTCTCAGTTGAGGTTCCCCCTTTGCCGATAACCCTAGCTTGTCATGTTGAGAAAAACCTAACCAGCACAACACATATCCCCAAATGCATAAGCAACACTGAATAGTCTAAGTGCGTTGTATTTATATACACATACTTGTCTGTGTGTGTGTGTGTGTGTGTGTGTGTGTGTGTGTGTGTAAAACAATAAAGAGGAAACCATGAAGGGAAGATGGAAAGAGGACACATGAAGAATTGGAGGATGGAGAATGTGGATGAAAATTATGTAAATATATACTCATGAAAATTAAAAAAAATGGTAAAAGAAATGTTAGCAATTAAAATTGTAATTAAATTTGTATTCCTAATTTTTTTTTTCTTTTTTGTTCAGTATATACTTGTGTTATGAGTACTTACCAGTGCATGGAACTGTTGAAAGAAACAAAAGACCAAAAAAAAAAAAAAGACAGATTTAATGATCTTTTTCTTACTTGCTGGTTGAATCTGAAATAACTTTATAAAGATTGCATTATTAACCAATATTTCTTGTAACACACGAGGTGATTGTATTTTAATTTTAAAAATAAGGCAGTATTATTTATGTTTTCAGATATTGTAATAGTTTGTCCATAGCATATATGAACAAACTTCAAGTTCCAAAGAATACAAATTCTTATTTGTGTCAGGAAGAATAATGTCAAAACAGAAGTTTCAAAGCCAGGAGCGGTGGTGCCTTGAGAGGCAGAGGCAGGTGGATCTCTGCCTTTGAGGCCAGCCTGGTCTACGAGGTGAGCGCAGGACAGCCAGGGCTACACAGAGAAACCCTGTTTCGAAAACAACAACACAACCAGGAGTTTCACAAGCAAGTTCTAATATATATATATATATATATATATATATATATATATATATA